ATCATCTCGTACAGTTATTTCTCTGCTCAAGGGTTTCTCCTCCAGAATCTCAGCCTCCTCTTCGAACCCCACAGTGTCATCCTTGGAAGAGAAAGCATTCATCGGCGGAAGTCTGTGCAGAGAAATAACTGGAGTATCCAGACTCTTTGCTCTTCTCCCGGAATCTGGACTCTCTTGTGTCGCCTTCTGACGTTGCAAAGACGCAAATGCCGATCCCTCAGACAAATTAAGCCTAGCATGAGCAAAGAGAATAGGTGCGTGACCTTTAGATCTCATCACAATGGATGAATCAATGAATTCTTCAATAAGTTTTGCCCTTGCCTTGGAGTCAGCCTTGGAAAAATCCTTCTTGGTGATCAGAGTGTACGCCAAATCGTCCTCATTGTCTCTGTCCTCCTTGCATGTCTCATAAACCTCATCATCGGTCCGCAAGAATTCACAACTCTCCAGAATCGGAGAAGGAATCGTCTCAGTCATGTGGTAAACTTGAGTTGTCTCCGTCCTCTTAGTCACCGTGCCTTCTTCCTCGGAGCTGGGAATTGAGATTGATCGCTCTGAGATTCGTCTCAACTCAGATGCATTCTGATAGGAAGGATCAATAGACGCATGCGTGTGATATCGACTCTCCAGATCAGCCAAACGACGTTGCTGCGGAGGCGATCCCTCAATTTCAGTGGAACTCATCGTCTGTCCACGTCCCCAGGCATTTATAATACGATCCTGTTCCAGCTTCAGAATAGGTTCAATCTCCTTCCTTGATTGCGGAGGTGAAAACTCCAGTTTGGTCGGCGTGGCTTCTGTCGATCCGAACACATCATCAGAATCTAAACTCTCATCATCCGAACTGAAGGACGTAATCCTAATCTTGGCCTTATTCTTCCCCTTCACATGTTGCTTTCCAGCTTTCGGAGCAATTCGAGGTTTCAGCAGTCTCTTGGCTATTGAAATATCCTTCTTCGTCACAACTGGCGGTTCCATTTGGTAAAATGATTCAGGCAACTTCACTTCTCCCGCCTTTAGTGCTTTAGCTTCTCGAGCAAAGCTCTCAGTGCTTCCCGAATCACTCTCAATCTGCGACAATTTGCTGTTCAGCGCTTCCAGCATCTTTGGATCGAGTTTCCTCGTAATGTCCCTCTTTGGGCTGGACATTTGAATAATTGGAGAAGTCTTGTCGACCTCCAGAGTCACCGGATCGACCTTAGAGAGATCGATATTTTGAGTGAAAAGAAAACCTTTCCCACCCTCTATTTCAATACTGTCCAGTAGGTCTGGCAGTATGTCTGCAGACAAGAGATCCTGCTTTCTATCTTTCACCACATCCTTTCCATCCATAGTTTTCGGCGATTTGGGTGATCTTGGTGACTTAGGCGACTTTGGACTCTTCGGCTTCTGATGTTTCAGGAATTTTCCATCGCCTGGCGACGGAGCAGTGCCATTCATCACATGCCTCTTGTGCAAAACATAGGGAATATCCTCCTTCACCACCTTTCCATGCCTCTTTTCATACTCCTTGAAAAAGCTGCTGGGCATCTCAAAGCCGGACTTCGGGATGTCCGACGCTGCAACTGGAACATCATAGCTCTTAGGAATCTCAAAGTGACTCCTGTGACTCTGACAAAGCGGAGGAGCACTCGGAATCTGTTTGTAGAAGTACTCTTCATCGCTCGAGTCGGCTGGTGTCAAATCAATAGACTTCTGATGCATCAGAACGTGACGTCTGGAGTTTGACCCAAGACGTGATCGATTGGCCAAAGAATTGGGATCACTCTTAGTCCTCTCCACTGTTGGATGAATGTAAGTCAGTGGATTTGATGATCCCGTTCCATGAGAAACAGAATCCAATATCATTTTCGGATTATACTCCTCAAAGTGTGTTTTTGCCATCAATTCTTCCTTCCTTGTTGACTTCACATTGATCACATGAGGTGAATCAATCTTCAATTTGTCGAATTCTGACATGAGTTCAGGCGTCAAAGGGTATTCGGGACTTCTTTTATTCACTTCTGGGGCTGTTGTGGAATCCATGGAAGATTGAGTCAAAGATTCAATCTTGTCTTTGTCAAAGCTAAAGATGTTGTCACTATCGGACTTTCTTCTAAACTCTCTGTCAAATGAACTTCCCTCTTTGTCCAGATCATCACTCTCATCCTCGACAGCTTTGGACCACAGATTCTGAGTTTGAGTGGCTTGATTTTCTGCATGACAAATTGGTGTATTTTCATTAGATCTGTAAGAATACGAACGCGTATTCCTCTCAATCTCAACATTCTGCAGACTGATTGAGTGAACATGAGATGTTTTGTGTGTCTTATTGCTCGGGAATGTAGAATAATTGCTTTGTGAATTGTAGTAATTGCCAGATTTCATCTCAGACAGAAGACTATCGTGACTCTTCACTTTTATCTTGCTATAACCACCGCGATCGCTGTCCACATCCTCACTTCCGTCAACAGAGGATCTCTCCAAACTCGGCAAAGACATTTTAGCATCGTAATAGTCACTCTTCGACTCCTGACTCGAATTCCTCTCATATTGATTGGCCAATTTCTTCCCCAGATTCTTAATCTTCTTCCCAGTCGTTGTGGGCATTTCGTAGTTCTTCAGCAAACCATCGCCAAAGGATTCCTTGCTCTCCTGACTCGATGCTCGGGAATTATAGTCTGATCGATCAGAGTGTTTGCTCTTCAGCGTTTCTCTGGACTTCTTGCTGTCCGTGTGATAAACACTGTCCTTTGATTTCTTACTGGAATCACTGCTCTTTGATATCTTCGATTCATAGTAGTCACTGCGAGACTCCTGACTCGATGTTCTCGATCCTATTTGATGCTTTATCTTGTTATAGAAACTCCCATCGGACTTCACGCAGAGCTTCTCTCGTGGCAAATCCCGCGGATCTTCGTTGAGGAACAAATCGTCCATTATATCAGCCACACTTCGACTCTTTATCTCACCATTACGATACTTGAGGAATGCAGACTCGCTCACACTCTCGTCGTCAGTTGGAATGTAGTTGCCAGAATCGAGAGAACACGATCGAGAGTGAGGCTCTGAATGGTCATTCTTAATTCGCGCATAGAGTTCATCATCGGACTTCTCGAGGAGTTCATAGCTATCGTGAGAAACATCATCATGAGATCCAAAGTCAAACTGATGTTGATAGTATTGTCCACGTCGATTGGCGTGATCGACGGTGTTGTAAGTGCTTCCAGGATAACTCGAAGAGTATACCTTCGACTCCAGGATCGGAAACTCCCCATTGACATCCACTGAGTGGTTCTTGTTCACATACAGCGATCTATTGGCATCATCATAGCGTGTTATCGGCGAATCGATACGATCTGAAGACAAGAACTCCCTATCAAATGCGTTGATATAGGAGAAATCGAGGGCTTTGCGTTTCGCCTCACCAGACTCCTCGAAGTTGCAGTCGTAGAGCTCCTTGCAGGATGCACTCTTCAGCCAAGAGTCCTTTCCTGTATCCCCACCATCGAATGTCTTGTATTGCAGCGTTGAGTAGAGATTGGCACTGGAGAGTTCGTACTCCAAGCGCTCAGAGGAGTTCTTCTTGCCCAAAATTGAACCCTCAAAGTCCGAATCTGCCGACTTTGGTGCCAAATACAGATCGTAGTTCGTTCCAATGTTACCCAATGAGTGCCTGGCACTAAAATCGTAGTTCTGAACTGTCTCAATGGCGCCCTTCTCACCATCCACAGGAGTCTTCTTTCGCCCCTCGTGCGTGTAATACTCACCACTGTCGTTGGTGTATCGATTAGCATAGAAGTCCACCTGACCATTGGTCAGGCGACTCACATTGGCATACCCTCGGGACGTGTCACCGAGGAATTCATCGGATTTGCGCCTCTTCTCCGCCGCAGCAGCATCAGCCGCCGCAGCTTCGGCCGCATTTATTCTATTAATCGTCTTCGTCTTGCGGTTGACAGTGGCGTACAGATCATCCGCCCGATTAACCGATGCCGTCGTCGCCGCGACACCCCCTTTAAATTGACTTATAGCACTACCCTTGTTGGGAGCCTGCCCCCCAAACCTCCTCCCATATAGATCATTAATGTCTGTGTAAATAACATTGTCAGTGTCATCAGTGGCGGTGCTGCAGGACTTAGACATCGAATACGTATTGCTATAATGGGCTGGGATGGCATAGGCTGGGACCGTTGAACGCTGCGTGCGTGTGTCCGAAAGGACAACACTCTCCTGGCTGATAGACGAGACCATCTCCTCCCCCATAGAACTGCTGGCTTCCTCCGAGATGTATTTGCTGCTGCGACGCTGACATTTGGGCGACGCAAGGGCATAGTGATGGCTCAAGCCTGCACAGCGCGCCACACATCCAAACCCATTTCATTGTGTTTTCGTTTTGTTTATCAACCATGTGCGCGCACACCAAAGAAAATTATTATCAATCATCTGACTTTCATATTTCTTCACCCCTCGGTGAAGAAGGAACAACGAAAAACAGGATATTCGACCAAAAAATATGACTACAAATTAGCGTGAATAAAGAAAATAAGAGTCAACACATAAGAAAAGAATACTTCTCTTGACGAGAACAATTGCCCAAGAGCAAGAAGTATAATCACAAAGAAAAAATCCATGGCGGAATGGAAGACAATAAATTCCACCCTCACCATTCGCCTCTCCAGGCGCTTTTTCTTCCTCTCTCACTCCCCAAATAAAGAATTACTTAACTTAAAAACCACGGTTTTTCCCGATAAGTGGTGGAAAATGATTAACGAAGATAACAACTGAGCCTGGAGTGTTCCTGAGTGTCTTACTAATCACGGAATTACACATCTGTGCTTAAACAATGAATAATAAGCATTATAAAGTTGAAATACTATCGGTTAGCTTATCTCTGACACATCTAGTAGCCTCTAATGAGCTAAAGGATCTTAATTTAAGACACTCAGGATCACCCTAAAGCCCTGCAACTGAAGGCAATAACGAGAAGGGCGAAGACGTGAGGGATTTGAGTGGCTCACCTGAACTGTGACCGTCTTGATGTGCACGAGCCCGATCGGCTGCGTGGATATTGTTGTTGTAGTGGTGGTGCGGTGAAGTCCAAGTGCCCCCCGGAGATACAGAGCGACTCGAGTCCAGGTGGTCCTGAACTTGTGGAGATTCCGCCGCAAAAGTCTTCATCTGATAGGTCTCCACCTGGGCTGCTGTGACCTGAAAGTGCCACAATGTGGGAGGAGAAAAGGTGTTCAATGAGCAATTTCATCGTTCAAATATAGAGTATACGTACTTGAGATCGCGTGTGGTCGATAGGACTGTCTTGTCGGCGAGCCAAGGAATCCACTCCCTTCCTCATCTGAGAAGGCGTCGTCAAGGCGCTGCTCTGATTGCGAAAATCCCATTCCGCTGTTGGCACAAACGAGACAAGAACAATGGCAATCAGCAAAATGCACATCAGTCAAAATCCCACCCTTTCTTCTCTCCACCTTCTGTCGTCATTTTTCTTACACTCTACCGAAAACAAAAACCATATTTACATCAATTATTGTTTGAAAAGAAGAGTAAAAAGAACTGAAGAAAAATGAACTCTTTGGCAATATAATATTTACATAGTGATTTGGTCACTGATATCCAAAATGAAAGTGTGTGGAGGGGATGAAAAGAAAACTGAGGGCATGTGAGACATTTTTAAGGGTAAATTAGGAGACACCAAATAAATAAAATCAATGAAAAATACCAACCAGTCTCTATGGGTAGCAAGGGATGAGCTGAAATGCTGGAATTCACATTGCAAGAAGTGTGCGATTGACTTCTATTACCAGAGTTGAGAGTACCCTGACGAAAGGACTGAGACCTGCGAGACAAGAAAAGACAAGAGGATGTCACCCTAATCTTGTGACCACTTCTTTTTGCACCATCTCTCGTCATTCCTCTATGTTTGTTTTTAAGCTGTGCTCATAAATTCTCTAACATATTGGCTAATTTTCCAGTGATATACAATTCTCTGCGTTCTACTTTTTTCCTTGTTGTTTTCCCCACCACAGCTCAGAATCGTGCCTCTTATCGGTCATGCTACTCTAAATTCCTCTGGCTTTTCCACAGCCACAGAGATTGACGAATTTGCATCCAATTTTTTCGCAATTCCTCCACCCATCAATACTGGCTTAGCTCGGATTATTGATAAGAGAAATGAATGCATGTGGAAATGCTTAATTAAATGTACAAGTAATGATGGTAATGAAAAAGTCACAACAAAAGTTATCTAATTTACATGAAATAAAAAATGTTTAAGAGAAGTTTAATGACCCAAATAACACGCTAGATGTATATAAAAACTTTTCTCGCTATCTCTCTCTCTTGCTCTATGTTTTGCAAAAAAGCATATATAGTTCATGTTCTTTACTGTATTAATAATGTAGTTACAATTAATAAATATTCATATTGCAAAATCGTCACTTTGTTGCGCGTGGAAATATGAATATTTATGCGGCATAGAAAGGAGGGAGAATGGCTAAAAACTATTCTGTTGGAGATAAAAAAAAAGCTTCATAGACTAAATGAAAGATAAAAAATTGCCATAAATTTTCTTCATCGCTTTCTTTGGTTATAACAGACCATAAAAGTTTCTCTGGATGCGAATGAAAACACTACGGAATTGTATTTTATGTATCTTTCTCTCCTATTTATGACTTTTTGCCTTGCAAAATGTATTTACATTAATAGAATTGGAGTTCAACTCGGGAAATTAACCCCTAATCCTCTTCTCTTTTCTACCAGCTCTCTCTCCTCAATCTCAGTCAAGACAGTCCAAATAAGAGGTACAAAAAATATAAGCCAGATAAACAATAATAACTCAACAGATTAGAAGAGACAAAATGAAAAAAAAACTCAATTTTACACTAAATAACTATTTTTAAACATTATAACAAAACTCACAACTAATGATTTCATGGAATATCAATCGTGAAAGGTGTTATAATACTTTGGGAAGTCAACTTTCTCAAACTTACTGTCTCATTACTTGTTCTTAAGCTTTCTCACTAACAAAAGAACAGCCATTGGTTTCTTTCTATATAGCAAACACGTCTTACGGGTTGATTGACAAGATCGTTCACTTTAGAGGGTCACGAGGTTAAGAATCAAACCATAACTTTCAAAACATTAGGGAAGCCAATATTGTAAGGAATAGAGAGAAAAAACTGAAACCCATTGATTAAACTAACCAAAAGGCGAACAAAATATCATAACTGTAAAAAATGTACAGAACAAAAGTCAAGAATAAACGAAGAACAAAAAAGAAACATGATGATGAATGCTAAGAATCTCTCATTTACCTCTGAAACGTTTGCCGCTTGACATAATTGTCTCGAACAAATTCAATAACTTGCTTCTGGGTTTTTCCACTGTATCTAAAATTGCGAAGAAAGAGAAACAGCCACACATTAAAATTCAACTTCGTTTTTGCACATGATGATGATAAAAATAAGACTACCGAAATGAACTGCCACGCGAGAGAACTCTGGCTTTCCGCCTTGGTAGACTTTGCACCATTGAGCAACGAAAAAATCCGTGATTCTCCACACATTTCTTCCAGAAGTTCTTGCACTCGTTTCGCCCCTCGAAGAAGAACTCCACGGTATCCTTGTAGTAGCCCTATAAATAGAAAGTCACTGTGCATAACTCGCAAGCATCATTGCCAATGTGGTACAACTCACATAACCCTCCGGATGCAATTTGACTAAGAAACGTTTCCGCTTGAATGATATTTTCCTAATTTTCGCCCATGAGAACGTATTGATTCGCGTGATGCCTTGGAAAACGGCAATGCCCATGTGAGCCACGGATAAATTTAGTGGAACACCCTCAATGTCTTTCGCCTGGTGCATCTTCATGCCATACAGCTCGCATCGCCTCGCTGTTTCCAGCAAATTGAGATCCGCCTCAGCCGGTGATTGTCCGCTAAAAATAGAAAATTGTGGTGTATTTTTGCAAATATCATTACATCTTCCCGCCAAATGTTGCCACCGCACAGCCATAACATCATCGTTTTACTGGTACTTACAAGTGCTTCTTGTGATTCTCCATGATTTTCCTCTGCATTGACCCATCCTGATGTGGTACAAATCGATAGGAAGACAAGTAGGTGTGATCCGGGTAGTCCTCCACGACATAATCCCCACAGGAAGCTGCAGGAGAGATAAATTAATGCCACTTAGTGCGACTCTCTATGAAAAACTCCTCCTGCTCTCCTAAAAGCATCCATAAATTTTTCCACATCACATCCACTGCATTTCTCTTCTGACACATATAAAAAAGTGCCACCACACATGACAATCAATATCAATAAATTGTGCACCTTGAACAATGTAGCTGGCCATCAGAGCTGCCGTATTGTCGTTGCACTGCAATATCCCAGTGGCCAAGTCCCGTTTGACTTGCAAACAGAACAGAAATCTGGTGTATTCCTCCTCCAGCTGTGCAGGATCTGGCGTGTAGAATTTCACACAGAATCGCAGCACCGGATCAATCAGGGATAATCCCACTTGACGATTCAGTGGCTTCTCCAAATCCAACCAATACTGCTTTGTATTCGCGAGTGGGAGGAAAAAGTTCAAGAGGGAAATTAAAAAGCGATGAGGAGTGAATAAAGCTATAAATATTCCCCACTCAAATTGAAATCCTTTTATATATATACAGACAGTAGTCAGAGATATTAAATCACATTCAGTCACTTTAAATATTGCCACAACTCTTAAAGAGTGCGGAGAAATGTTTCCAATATAATTTTGAATTTCAATTCTTTCCTTTTTTTGAATTGCAAAATCAAATACTAGAGTTATTTAGTTGCAAGCTATAGTATTAAATTCTACTTTAATCACTCATCAACTCCCAAAGATACATACTTTCGTGTGGGATCCAGGCTCCTGATACTCCAGACCGAAGTAGTCCGCCTCCAGTAGATTGAGTTGTCGGCATACCTGCTCGAAAAGCACTTTTCCCAAAGCTTTAGCCTGTGGCGAGATAAAAGAAAAACGGGAGCAGCATTAGCAAAAAGAGCACACTCACAGGCCATATCACACTATCGCCGATTCGCGGTCAATCACACCGAGTGGATGATTTAATTAAATTCTCAGCCGCCAGCATTAATGCTGGTGCAATTGCAATTTTACTGGAAAAGGCAACTAGCATATATAGGAGGTGAAAGATGAGGAATCATCCACATCAGGTGCTACTCTTTGTTTGTTCAGTGTCGACTAAAGTTGTCTCTTGTCATAAATTTATACAATAAATCTCCTATTCTATCCACATAACACTGCTACTCTTTGCCACATCCCATCAAATACGGAAAGTTGCTCCCAGAGACGTAAAGTGTTTGAATTTCACCCTGCAACAATTGTGAATTTTCTCTTCACATCCACCATTGATTTTACTCTATACTGAAAGAGGTGAGTTTCAGAATTTATCCCACATATTAAATTCAGGCCAAATTCTTCCCATTCAATTTGCTGATATTGGAAAATAAAGCGAAACACACTCAAGATGTGCAGAAGAGAAAAAAGCGGCAAAACTGGCAGTCAAATAAACGCAATGGAATTCATAAAATGTTTATTGCATACATTGGAAATTCTGTATATAAAATGAATGTCACGAGCAATTCAATACTCGTTCTCTTTATATCGATTTTCATGTGGAATCTCCTCAAATTGAACCTCGCATGTCGCGTACAAGTCTAATTAAAAGAAATTCTTAATGTTAAAAAAAAGAAACAAGTCACAAGTGCCACTAATTCATTTTGAATTAGATTTCATATTACACGATACCAAAAGTGGTCAAAGAGGTGAAGTGCTTCACATATTTTTGGTGTTTATCAACAAAGTTTTGTGTATTCATTGATATACACACGCTCTCTTTATCTTCTCTGCAGTGCTGAACTACAAATAATCTTATCACTGAAGTATTCAATTTCTTCCTATTTCGCTTAACATTTCAAATTTATGTGCATTCTTCAGGATAAACTCCAAAATATCATATTCCAAATATGATTCAGAGAGAAAGCAGTGAATTTCGAATTGAAAATCGTATTTTGACTCGCTAAAAACGCTCAATTCTCTCTCTCTCACTCTCTGTCGTTCTCTCAAATTTACATTCCGACATCACTCTCAAGAAGATGAATCGCATTTTAAGCACCAAATTTATCAAGGGGCACAAAGAAAATATTTTCACAACCAGAATGAAATCATTTCAAGCAGTGCATCGGCAGTAAAAATCTGTCTCACTGTCTCTCTTTGATCTCACTTCACTTAAGTCAATCCTCCTTTTCACGCCCTTTTCCTCGCGCCATAAGTAAAAGAAGTGTGAATCAAGTAAAATAACTTCATTGATATTTCATTCACTTTCCTCCAATTTTTCTCACACACTCCATAAATCGACACGCTAAATGGAATGTTTAACAAGGCAACAAAATGTTTACACATTTTGTATTCTTTTTATCGGGTTCTCAACCACAAGAAATGATCGTAAATTAAAAAGCGATTTATTAGATATTTCCGTGGGGAGTTTTCCTCTCTTCACTCCTCGCATATTCATTGGCATTTACGACAATGCGATGAATGAGCATCAGAGTGAAATGGAAATATTGTAATACCATTGCGGCTAGCTATAGAGGATCTGTCACATCGACTGCCGGCAAGACTAATGGGAATTTTATTGATTGATGCCTCGTGCATTCTAAAATTCAAATTCTCTGTTTACACAAGGAGTATTTTCTTAAGATAATTTAGCCAGAAGCTAAATAAATGCCTAAAATTACCAAATTGTCCTAACTTCGATGAAATAACAAGAATTTCCACCAAAAATTTTTGCCTAACATCAAATGAATATCTTTTCTCTCATGTTTGCAAAATCAATATTTCCCCTTAAGGCACTCCACAATAAACACAAGTATCAACATTCAATATAGAAAATCTCACATAGCAATTAAATACTGAGAATAAAACGTTGAAAAGAGAGATAGAAACTTTAATGGAAGATATTCAACAATTGAGCAAAAATTCTCCCCATTGCAAATTGTCTCACAATCTCTCTGGCACATTGTTCTCACCAGCATCACCACAGAAGCATGACTAGAGGCAATTTTCCATGCATTTTCTCTGTCAAGTCTCTTCACAAAATCCCAGAAGGGGTTTTAGTTGAAATTTCGAGAGCATCTCTTCCGTGACGATTAACAATTTGTGAACATTCACAGCTTTTCTCTGGGTTGGAAATAAATTTCAACTAAATTGACCTCCCGCATTTGCGTTCAATTTATATAGGCAAAGCGAGAAAATTATAGTACTCTCGACACCAATTAAGCGATTTCATTGTGATAAGGATTTATATAAAAATTACACTTAATAACCCATCGCTTAAATTGATGATGGCAGATTTTATCGCATTCATAAAGAGAAAAAATACTGTCCCGCAATTTTTGGAGAAATATTGAGATATTTCGAATACTTACATTTCCACCCAAAGTCAAAAGAAGGTTCTAAATGAATTTTCACTCTAAGCTAGAAACGACCAACATTCCAATCCGTACGTGGACATTTTCTTGCCATATGTTTGAAAATTAACCCACCAAATATGGAAACTTGAACCGTTGACAATTTTTTTTCCTCCGCTCTTCTATGCAACATTCCCATCTTTCTCTCTCTCTCTGTCTAAAAGATCACTCAACTCCTCTCAATTAAACTTCTTGTCTTCATGAAAACACAAACTCGGTTGCGAACCAAAAATTGTCAGAATCACACCATGAAATCCAATTGAGGCTCATCTAAATTAATTTAATTATGGAAAGTCGCTGAAAAATTGTCTGATTGACTATTTTTGGAAATTCTTTGTTAATTGAAACATACAATTAACAGAGAAATAATACAACATGAAAAAGCACTCAAGTGGAATTTGCAGCAAGTAATGTCATCCGAGAAAATACAACCATTTCAGCAATTTTGCGAGAAAACATTTCTTTCTCTCTTTTCCATTCAATAAATCTCAATGGTGAAATGTAGGAAAATCATCTATTTTATTGCTCTTCTCTCTATACTTTCAATGCCAGAGCAAACATTTCGTGGAAAAGGATGAATTTCAAACAGATCACATTCGTTCTCGTCATTTTCGGCTTCAATCTCGTCTACTTTTCCGATGGAAAGGTTAGTATTGTATACAGAGTTTAATGAGAAAGACAGCGAAAGTCCATAAAACGAGCGAGATTACTTTTTTAGAAGTCCATCTACGACCTTCGCATGGACAGCATTAATTGCACCGACAGCGGACTTTTCGGGAACATCAATTGTGCCGTTAATGAAGTGAGTCCGTCAGTGTCACACATTCAACTCAACTTCTCGGCCATCAGAGAATTCAACCCTCTGGTCAGGATTGCCTTCTTCTATCGCTACACCACTTATCGCAGCTTCCTTCTCGATGTCACTGAGGACTTCTGCGCCTTCATACGCGAGGGAAAACCCGCCAGAACCATCAACTTCTTCTGGCCATCCCTTAAGGATGCCTCAAACTTCGGCCAAGGATGCCCCTTCCAAAAGGTAGGCACACACACTCAAGCAGCTCTTCCCGCAAAACCCCCGAAAAATGCACACTTTCCACCTTTCAGGACCACAGATACTACATCAAGGATTACGCCATGGACATGTCATCCTTCCCCCCAATATTGCCAAGTGGAGATTATCGCATTGACATCGGCCTCACGGATCGGGCTGCCAATGAAACTATAGCTCTTGTGCAAATCCTCGCCCACATCCGAAGGAAGTCCATTGCTGAACTCATCTGGAACTGAAGTTGACCATGTCGCCATGTCCCATGACTTCTGTACAATCCAATAAAAGAGATACCAGTTTTTATTTGCAAAGAAAATATTCAAATATTTGCCCAAGGACTATTTGCTCAAGATTTGATGCTCAACATCGCACGCTTTGCAGAGCGAATAAAAATTCACCAAATATCGACCATTTGAGCATTGGCAATACTTCAATTAAGTCATCTCCAGCATTCAAACAAATGGCCAATTTCAAAGGTTCAGAATGTGGTGTAAAAGTATTTCATTTGCTTCTGAAATAATTAATTAAATTTCTATCTCTGCTTAAATGGATTTTCACGGTGTAATTCAGAAGAAAATTTAGCAAAAACCATTGCGCAAATTCTTTAAATGAAAAGAATAAACATATTTGTTTATAATTCAGACAACAGAGACGTCTTTAACGATTTTCTCCATTACGAGCAACTGAAAAGCGATTAAGTAGCCACAAAAAATCATCAGATAATAATAAACCATTTAATATTCATGGCAGGAAGAAGAGTTTTATTAGTTTGGCAGTTAAACTATTCATTTCAATCATGACTCTCAAGCAGGTCACATTTTATCTCTTGCTCGCTGTGCCCTTTCTGCACTACACAACGCAATCTGTGAGTTTTTAGTCAATAAGAAACACATTTAATTGATTTTTCTCAAGTTTACATCTTCGTGTTTATACATTTGCAGGGAATGTACGATATGGTCGTGAAGAGACTCGACTGCATTGAATTGGCGAAGGACTATGGAACGTTCAATTGCTCTGTGAACCTGAAGAATCGCACCACAACTCTCATCCAAATTGCCTACATTCCAGTTCGCGAGATTTATCCCTTGGTCCGAATTACACTTTATTATCGATTCACCGTATATCGGAAATTCCTCATTGACGTGACTGAGGACTTTTGCGCATTCATAAAAGGCTCAAAACAAGGTCCAGTGATGAATCTCATTTGGTCCAGCCTTAAATATAATAGCAATTTCAACACTGGATGTCCCTTTGTCGAGGTAATATTAGCCGCACAATTAACCCAACAGAGTAAAAGTTCCGAGTATATCTTTCAGGGAAACAAATATTACGTAAAAGATTACATCTTTGATTCTTCAAAATTACCCCCAGCATTACCAGCAGGCGACTATCGCATTGACATAACTGTTCTCAATGAAATT